CCTCAAGACGTGGTTGTTCCAGCTCGCGGGACTGGCCTAAGGGATTTTAAAGGGGTTTTAATTACTTTTAAATTGGACGTATTTAAATATTTCTTTTTAATCGATTTTTAATTAGATGTATAACATGTTAGCATTTTATCTATTGTCAGCCGCCCTGAGTCCGCAAGGAGAAGGGCGGGATATAAATGTAATTAATTAAATAAATAAATAAATAAATATATAACTATGTGGAATAAGAATATTCCTAAGGCATTAAAACTATTCTTATTGTATCCAATTTGATATATTACAGAAAAATAGGAGTCTTGGTGGTGCAGTGGTTAGAATATAGTATTGTACTTTAACTCTGCCCGTAATCTGGAGTTCGATCCTGACAGGCTCAAAGTTGACTCATTCTTCCAGCCTTCCAGGATTGGTAAAATGAGGACCCGGATTGTTGGGGGCAATGTGCTGACAGCGTAAACTGCCCAGAGGATGTGTAAACATTGTGGAGCAGTATATAAGCCTAAATGCTATTGCTATACACGGAAGGAAAAAGTTATAAGTTTGCTCTTATTGCAGCCAAAGCTATAAGTAGGGAGAATGACTAATTAAGCATAACAGAAACTTTAGGGGAGGAAATAACAACATAATCAATTAGAGAGTTGGGAGCAATTATCAAGTCGTCCAGTCCAGGAGTCTCCAAACTTGGCAGCTTGTAAGACTTGTGAACTTCAACTTCCAGAATTCCCCAACGAGCATGGCTGACTGAGGAATTCTGGGAGTTGAAGTCCACAAGTCTTAAAGTTGCTATATTTGGAGATCCTTGATCTAGTTTAACCCCAGAAAGGACACTGCATCAGTATTTTGGTTCAGAACATGAGGTGAGCTTCGCTTGCAAAACATGGTGTGTGAATTTGGAGCTACGGAGCTGCTGAAAAAGAGCAAGATTGCTGGGATGATAGAATGTACTGTGAACATAACATGAAGTGAGTACAAACAAAGCTTGTTTTGGACAGAAGCCATTGAAATGCAAGAAATGGGTAACAAAAGTCTAGAGCAGTGGTTCTCAATCTTTTTAATGCGACCCCAACCGGTCGTAAGTCGAGGACTAAACCGGTCGTAAGTCGAGGACTAAATCGGTCGTAAGTCGAGGACTACCCAACCGGTCGTAAGTCGAGGACTTTCTCTGCCTGGGAGCGCCGCGCATGCGTGGTTCCGCCCCCTGCGCTGGCCGAGGTGTAGCTGGCAAGCGGCAGAGACGGAGCAGGCCGACCACCAGCTGGCCCAGCCCAAGGGAGGTAAGGCACCTGCCGGAAAAGGGGGAAAAATGGTGGACAAAAAAAATGGCGGACAGCCTTGCTTGGCGACCCCCGTGAAATGGTCGATCGACCCCAAATGGGGTCCCGACCCACAAGTTGAGAACCACTGGTCTAGAGGTAGTGCTTTCTAAATGACCCCGCTTTCACCAACCGTTTGAAGTTAAGACTGATGAATGAGGAGACTTATGGCCATTGCTCATACTTGTGGCTGTCAGAGCATCCGCTTGTCCCATAGCAATTTGTAGCTTTCACAGCCGGCTTCCAACAAGCAAAATCAGTGGAAAAGCAAGCGGGGAGTTGCAAGTCACACTCGTGAGCTATCACACTTAACATCTAGGGGTGATTCGCTTAACAACCATACTTTCAACTGACATCCCAAGTTGGTGAGGTCCAATGAAATTCCACTTTATAACTGCATTGCTTACTGATGGAATTGTCGGTCCCTGTTGTGACTGGTAACTGAGGACTTTCTGTATTATACTTGCAATATAGTTGTGATGGGATGTTTGTGCCAAGAAAGCAGCACAACAGTGAAGAGAAATGGCCAAACCCTGTTTGAGATTGGTTGGGTGCCTGTTTTCCAAGAAAGAGGGATCCCAAACAATAGCAAGGCAGAGATTCTTTTACATTTCAGGATTAAGAGGTGGGAAATCCAAGGTAGGGGAAGTTTTGGGGGAATTGGCACCAGACTAGAAACTGGGGGACTGTGAGTTCTAGTCCCACTTTAGGCATGAAAACTGACTTTGGGCCAATCAGCAGGAGGCTGTGAGTTCTAGTCTCTACTGAGGCACGATAACGGTTTGGGCAACCTCGGGCCAGTGACTTTCTTAGCCCAACTCACAGGATTGTTAATAGGGAAAATACAAGGAAAGAGTATTAGATATGTTTGCCTCCTTGAGTCATTTATAAACATAATAAAGGCAGGATAAAATTGTATAAATAACTGAGATAGGTGTAAAACAGGGGAAGATCGGTCTTTTTTTTTTTTAAATGTAAAACCAAAGTCACACTTTTGTGACAAGTGGAATATTGAGACAGTCCTTTCCTTGTTGATGAGGGGCTTCCTGCCTTAGATGAACTATTGGTGGGCAGATCAGATCTTGTGCTGGTCCAGTATATAGCCAGCTTAGGAATTAAGGATTGTGTGTAGAGCAAGTAGCATTTTAAGGGTTAAAGTGCTGCCCCCTTAAAGGTAGCCTTCTGGGAAATGTAGTTTTAGTTGTTACATGGTTATATCTGTGTTCTAATTGGCCACTGGGAGGGACTTGTGTTTTGTTACGGGACATCCTGTGTATGTGCCCAGTTTATTATCTCTCTCCATGCATCCTAGCCACGAGGCTGGGAGCTCCGTAGAATGGGGAAATCCATTATCCTTTTACCTATGAGATGGGTCCAGATTACAATCTACATTCTGGAAGAACTTGTACAATAACTGTGAGTTCATGTCTTGACGATGCCTGGAATAAAGTAATTTTGTATGACTTATCCATGGAGTTTATTCTGCCTGTTTCAAGTGAAATCCAGCAACCTTCTTTGCATGAGACAGAAAAGAGCGATCTTTTCATACATAAATGGGGGAAGCAGGAACAGCAGAGAGAAATGATGGAAAGAGTTTGCAACATGGGAGGAAGAAAGGAAAAAGACGGGGAGGTGGAGAATTTGGAGAAGAGTATGCAGCTTTATTACAGGTCGTCCTTGACTTACGACCACAAATGAGCCCAAGGTTTCTGTTGCTCAACAAAACAGTTGTTAAGTTGAGCTTTGTCCCATTTCACGACCTTTCCTGCCACAGTTGTTAAGAGAATCACTGTAATTGTTAAATTAGTCACATGGTTGTTCAGTGAATATGGCTTCGCCATTGACTTTGCTGGTCAGAGTGTTGCAAAAGGTAATCAAATGACCACAGGACACTGCAAATACATACCAGTTGCCAATATCCGAATTTTGATCATGTGACCTTGGAGAGGCTGCAACAGCTGCAAATGTGAAAAAAGATCCTAAGTCACTTTTCAGTGCTGTATAATTTTCAAATGGTCACTAAAGAAATGGCTGTAAGTAGCAGACTACCTATATTTATTCATCACATACTGATTGCAGGTTATTAATACAATTATTGTAGTAAACTGTCCTATTAATACAGGGGACGTAATGAATTTTGCAATAATCGTTCCAAAGTACAGGTAGTCCTCGACTTACAGCCATTTGTTTAGTGACCGTTCAAAGTTACGACGTCACTGAAAAGAGTGACTTAGGACCCTTTTTCAGCGGCTTTTGATACTGTGGACCATGGTATCATGCTGCGACGTCTCGGTGAGTTAGGAGTGGGAGGCACTGTTATGCAGTGGTTCTCCTCCTTCCTCACCGACCGTACGCAGTCTGTATTGGCAGGGGGACAGAGGTCGACTCCCAGGCCC